CAAGGGGTTGCCACCACCCTTGGACAGGCATATCCCCCCTGAGCTACCGAACCACTTCCGAGGGTGTTTTTAGCACGTTGTAGCATAAGAGGTAGTACGCTCAGTCGAATGCCTTAATCGGACTTATAAGTGAACCAAGACTCTGGGGCTAATCTCCATAGCTCAACTTTGCACTGGTCGACAAGGTCAGTTTATCTAACCATCGGCACTCCGTACACTTCAAAAAAATAAAATCAACTTCAAACGTAAATTGCGCCTAGTCCCTTTTCTGATCCGACCCATAACCTTTTAACAACGAAAATAGACATATGTCTCGCGCGAGGCTCAAGTCAACGTAAACTTTGTCATATTGACTAACTATGCATGGATACGCAAGCAGTCACAATAATGGCATACTATGTGGTACCCATGACCACCTGGTCCTCAATGGTTTTTAGGATAGCATTCAACGCTCCAGTTCTGGTTGACACCCTGACGCATCTTGAGAGGTTATTCTCTCGACGCTACCCTGTTCTGTACACTGCTAAGAGGAGTGGTAGGCGGGTTTTGGTTGTTAGTGGCGGCCAAACACCTCTGACCTTACAAACGGGGCTCCATCTTCGGAGGCCTAAAAACAGATCAAGCAGCTTGACTTTGACGGTCACCATGGACTTCAACGTCCAACTATAAAAATTATAAAAGACTGAAGTAAAAATGGATCTTCCTTTTCTCAATTCAAATTTGTTCAAACCTTACGCATGACCAAAGTAAACCGCGCAGATACACAAATATAAATATAATGGGGTTATACGACACGAGGAGATTAGTCTCACAATCACAGTGTGACTACCTTGAAAATATACACGCGATGACATACAAAGTCAAATCCGAGCTTCAACTCACAAAACATATTTGTAATGACATCCAGAGATTGCACACCGACAAACCATACACTACACGGTATCAACTTCAACCATTTTTTGTGCTCACACCCATTGCCTTATGCTCACAAGTCTCAACCTTTGTCAAACCTTTCGAAATAACACTCAGTCCCTTTTGAATTGTCATAATACACATTTCGGTAAAAGTGAACCTTTTGATTGTTCACTTTTTGTAACAAAGTCGGAATTCATGTTGGAGTGACATAAATAAGAGTAAATCGAAACAATCATTGGTAAGTGTTGCTAAGTGGGCAGTGATATGGGTCAACTGCCAGCGCTTGGAGTACTGGACCCATCACACACACACACACACACCCCACCCAACCCCAACCACCCTAGCACACTAACGGTGTTCGAAATTCTCCCTTGTAGGCAATCTTCACGATAGCCTTTTGGAGCGGCCTTCGGTCGGCAACTCAGAATAAACTCCAGGTTTGTTCGAGTGCTCCGGGCCCATCAACATGCAAATTGTGCGCTTGATTATGGCCACTGCATAGTTCGTAGTGAGCGGGATACGTACTTCAGCCCCCTCCCCCCCCCCCCCCCCCTTGTGCGCCAGTTCGCGAGCCGGACCGCATTATATGAGATTGCAACTAGATTCGATCACCCATGGCATACCTGTTATCGACCCCTTTTAGCAAAAAGGTTCGGGCATCGGACATTATATGAGATTGCAACGGTAGGTTCTTAGGGACGGTGGCGAGTGGAGGCCGTTGTTGTTATGTTGTTTTCTGTTGTTTCGTGTGTGTGTGTATACGTTTTATTTTTAATACCATGTTCGTAGTGAGCGGGATACGTACTTCAG